TGAGGATGAGGATGGAGGGTTCTCTGACACAGAGTGGTCCCCGGGCATCGCAGCCCTAGTCCTGACTTCTTGCCTCACCTGGCTTGGCCCTGGGCAACCTCCTCAGCGGCAGGTTTTTGTTTTTTGTTTTTCCTTCTTTCTTTCTTTTTGGGCCGCACTGCACAGATTGTAGGATCTTAGTTCCCCAACCAGAGATCAAACCCGGGCCCTCAGCAGTGAAGGCCTGGAATCCTAACCACTGGGCCTCCAGGGAACTCCCTCAGCTGCAGTTTTATACTTATCCTTGGTTCCCTCTACCTGAGCACGAGGCTGGCCCCACTGGGGTTAGACAAAACCGCTCCACCCAGGCTCTTCTGCCCCATTTAAGCAGCCCTCTGGCCCCTCTCCCTCCCAGCCCCTCCTGGGCCGGCCTCAAGAAACCCAACATAAATCCCCACTCCCCCCCAGACTGTGCTGGTCAGCAATGGGGTCTGCCCCAGCCTGCTCTGGTCCCATCCCACCACTCAGGATCCTTCACTTCCCAAGAGTCTCAGGCTCCACAAAAGGGCAGTAAACATTTGCAGGACAAATACCCGAATTTTGAAATGACTTGCAGGCCCTCAGAGCAGTGGTGGGTAGGGGGTGGGCATTTGTCACAGAAAGAAAAGGTCTTTACCCACAGGTCACTGGACTCATTTCTTGAAAACCGTCACCCGGCACAGCCCATGCAGGAAAAATGTTCCCCAGAGGTACACCAGGAACGCTGTGGTTTTTTAGCTGAGCAGGGTGTTTTACGTAGTTAACAGATGCTGGGAAAGGAACACATTTGCATTTATCATTTTTGTGTTTTATGATCACCTCTGGGTTACCAGGAATGGAACCTCCAAATTATAGCCTGGTGCCCACAAGAGAGCAGCGTTTGGTGTAGGAGGCTTGACCTTGGAACCAGCTGGGGCCAGGGGTCTGAGGCTGCCCCCACCATATTCCGCAGCCTCCATCACCAGAACAGTCCACATCCCATACGAAGTGGTAGGAAATTGAGAGGAGGTGGTGGTGGGGTAGAGCTCCCCGTGTTTTCTCCAGGGTCCTACCTGGGCTCTTCCCATCTGCTCCTGGCCCCCTGTGCTGCCTGCTGGCACTGGGCACGCCCCCCCCCCTTTATGACCCAGGGCTCCCACATCCCAGCTCCAATTATACCACTGTCCTCCAGGTTCAGACAAGGAGGGCGCCAGGCCACAGAGCAGGGGAGAAGTGGAAGTACCCGCTTCCAAGGGCATCCTCATTGCGAAGGTGACCATGAGAGCCCTAGAGGCAGTAGGCTGAGTGCCCTGAGATCCATCCCAGGAGGAACGTGGGCCAGTGCTACTGGAGGCTCTGGCCAGGGCGCCTAGTCTGCAGATGTCCTGGAAAGCTCAGCTCTTTCTGTGCTCCCCGTGAGTGACACCTGGCCTGGTCATATCCGCTCTCCAAGCCTGTAGGGTAGAAGACCATGGCCCTCCTTCAAAGGTCGTGGGGAGGATGAAAGCAAATGAAACCTGTGAGTCCTTAGGCAGGAATGATGGGGCAAAGGCGGCAGGAGCGGGTAGAGGGCCAGGGGGCCACTGCCTGGGGCACCCACCTGCGAGGGGCCGGAAGGGGCCCCTGTGACATGAGCTGGCAACTCCCCCAGGGGGAACGTTTGATAAGCGCTTGAAGGGGGAGTGGCCCCAAGGAGCAGGCATAGCCCCTACTCTGTGTCCCTTCTGTCTGCAGGAGGTGTGAGCCCGGCAGGGCTGTGGCAGGGGGCAGACCAAGGAAGCTCCCGCTGCCTCATGGTTCCTCCCTCTGCATCTGTACTCAGCAAGGCCCAGCTGTTCCTCTAATATCTGAACGCACTGGACAAACGTTGAAAGGGTCTTGGTTTGACCGATAGCCTGTCTAGGACCTCCTTGTGTCAAGGAGCCCCTCTGACACCCCTTCCCTCAGGGCCTGCTTGAAAGCAGGTGGTGGGATTTCCCTGGTGGTGCAGTAGTTAAGAATCCACCTGCCGATGCAGGGGACACGGGTTCGATCCCTGGTCTGGGAAGATCCCACATGCCGCGGAGCAACTAAGCCCGTGCGCCACAATTACTGAAGCCCTCGGGCCCTAGAGCCCGTGCTCCGCAACAAGAGAAGCCACCGCAATGAGAAGCCCGTGCACTGCAATGAAGAGTAGCCCCCACTCGCCGCAACTAGAGAGGAAGCCCACGTGCAGCGACGAAGACCCAACGCAGCCAAAAAAAAAAAAAAATCAGGTAGTGGCATTTTCTCCAATGAATCATGTGACTCGTCATATAAATTCTTGCCCGTTTTCTTCTTTAGAACGGTGCCCAGTTCACTAAAGGTATTGAATACATGGTGGGTGGATGGATGGATGGATGGAAGACGGGCTGGTGATGGCGCGTACTGCTCGCTGGTCTGCTTCAGTGACGATAAATATCATGATAACTACCACGCATTGAGCCCTGACTTTCTGAGCTTTGAAGGGTTTTAGTCACATGACTCATGTGATCCTCCCAACAACCCGATCAGGCAGGCACTGTAGCTTGAAGGCTTAGGAAGCTGAGGCACAGAGAGGGCAAGGAAGTTGCCCGAGGTCACAGCTGGTTCACAGCACCGCGGATGACAACCGAAACCTGGTTCCGTCTACCCAAACCAACCAGTCTCTGCGGGCCCCGTGCAGCAGGCCTGGCCCACTTGGAGTTCCCTTGTGGGAGAACCAGCTGGGCCAGGGCAGAGGCTCGGCTACAGGACACCTAGGTCAAGTCCCTGCATGTCAACTTGCTGGGCGCCTCTGGCAGGACTTCCTTGGGCTTCAGTTTCTGCCCCTGTGAAGAATGGAATCATGGGACCCCGAGGTCCTTCCTCAAGGAGTTGAGAACTGCTGTGACTCCCCAGTCCCTGCCCCATTTGGAGGTATCTGCGCAGAGAGGTGGGGCCGGCTCCATGGGGAGGTCTGGGTGGCCGCCTGGCAGGCTGAGCTCTGGGACCAGCTGAGAGCCGGGCCACCCAGACCCACACTCTGACTGACGGGGACTGGGGAGCAAGTGCCCGACCACACCTTTCTGTGGGGAACTTGACGGAGAGCTTCCTGAAGAGGGCGAGTGGAGGCAGGGGTGCTCCCATGTTGGATGGACTGCTGCCCGGGGTGATGGCCCAGAGGTGCCAGGTGCTGGGGGTCAGCACCCTCTCTCCTTCCCTCCATTCTCCTCTTTAGACAACTGGTACCCGTGGAGTGCCCACTCCGTGCCAGGCCCTATGAAAGGCACTGAGAAGAATAATAACAGGCTGATAACATCAAAGACATTTACTGGTCTCAACTCCTGCTGGGGCACAGCATGCATTAGCTCGTGGCATCCTCAGGAGTATCCTGAGAGGCAGGGACTGCTAACGCTCTAGCGATGCACACGGAGGAGAAGCCAGGCTCCCCACCAGGCAGTCAGATGCCCGGGCCCCCACCCCTAGTGGCCTGCCTCTGCTCTAGCCAGGACTAAGCACCTGAATTTGTTTGTTTTTTTATTTATTTTTTTATACAACAGGTTCTTATTAGTTATCCATTTTATACATATTAGTGTATATATGTCAATCCCAATCTCCCAATTCATCACACCGTCATCTCCGCCCCCCCCGCCATTTCCCCCCTTGGTGTCCATACCTTTGTTCTCTACATCTGTGTCTCCATTTCTGCCCTGCAAACCGGTTCATCTGTACCATTTTTCTAGGTTCCACATATATGCGTTAATATACGATATTTGTTCTTCTTTCTGACTTATTTCACTCTGTATGACAGTCTCTAGATTCATCCACGTCTCTACAAATGACCCAATTTCGTTTCTTTCTATGGCTGAGTAATATTCCATTGTATATATGTACCACATCTTTATCCACTCATCTGTCGATGGGCATTTAGGTTGCTTCCATGACCTGGCTATTGTAAATAGTGCTGCAGTGAACATTGGAGTGCATGTGTCTGTTTGAATTATGGTTTTCTCTGGGTATATGCCCAGTAGTGGGCTTGCTGGGTCATATGGTAATTCTATTTTTAGTTTTCTAAGGAACTCCCATACTGTTCTCCATAGTGGCTGCATCAATTTACATTCCCACCAACAGTAAGCACCTGAATTTAATGCTCTCAGCCGTGGTGGATCCTTCACTCAGCCACTTCATGGATGAGGCCCTGATGCCCACAGAGGGGAAGGGACTCGCTCAGGGCTGCACTGCTGAGAGCAGAGCTGGGTAGAGAACAGGGCACCTGCTCCTCCTAGTCTCCTTCCGTCATCACATCCACTTGTGTTCTGGGCAAAAGGCTCCAGGGGACAGGCATTGGAGCTGGAAAGCTGCAGGACAGCCATCCAGCCAGGCCTTCTGGGTTTCTAGGGTACGTGGGGATTTGTCCGACCGGCCTTGCCCATGGCTGGCTCTGCAGGACTTCGGGTCTCCCCCGGAGCCGCTGTCCTCTGGCCTCTCTGCTCCTGGCCCCTCTGCTCGGCCCCTCCTGGCCGAGCCCTAGACCTAGAGTTGGGAGCGCAAGCCTCGCCGGGACGGGTGGGCGAGTCCCGCCTCAGTCTCCCTCTGCGGACTGGGGAAAGAGGAAGTTGACCCTTTGCAGATGCACGACTCAACAAGAGCTGCACCAAGCTTGCTTCTCACTCGGCCGCCCGTCTCGCCACTCGCGGGCCGTCGCCAGCCAGGCCGCCAGCCGGGCCCGGTAGACAACTCCGCAGAGACCCACGAGTGACTGCGGGAGGCCGCAGCGGCGTCGCCCGCCTGCGCATGCGCAGGCCGCGCAGCCTGCCGGGACTGTAGTCCGTCCCTGCGGGGGTCGGGGCGTGAAGGTGGAGCGGCGGGGGAGCGGCGCCTACACTTCCCAGGGTGCGCCCCGCCCGCAAAGCGGCGGGGGGCGGGCGAAGGGCGGGGCCGCGGGGCGGGGCGGGGTCTGCGGGGCGGGGCGGGGAGGGGCGGACGCGCCGCGGGGCTGCGGCGGCGCTGCGGGCAGGCGGGCGCAGACAGCCGGGCAGGCGGGCGGGCGGCCCTTCGCGCCGGTAGGCGCGGCACCTGCGGGCAGAAGCATCGGCTGCGCAGAGCCCAGACGACCCGACTCCGAGCTGCCGCTGAGATGAGCGCAGGTGAGTGTGGGGACCGAGGGACCCGCGCGTCCCCGAGCTGGGTCGCGGCGCCGCGAGGGCTGGGGTGGCTGCACCTGCAGACTGGGGGTCTGCTCCAGCCAACTTCTGCTTCAGGGTCTTGCAGTCCCGAGGGTCCAGCGCGCAGCCCCCTGTCCCTGCGCCCCAGGCGGTGAGCTTGGCAGCGCGCACTGGGGACCCTTTCCCCGCGCGGCGCCGGGGTGACTGCGCCGGGCTGTCTGGAAGGCGCCACTCCTTTGCTTCTCCCTGGCGTCCGGGGTCGCCACAGGCTGCAGGAGGCGGCCAGGGTCCAGCGAGGGGGCACGGGACCAATGTAGACCCTGCCACGGAGAGGTGTGGTGACATGGGGCCTTTGCGTCAGGGGCCGCCGCCCTTGTGCGGCTCCAGCAGCGCCTGGGTGGGGGGCCGTCAGGCCGACGCCCGACGCCCTGGGCTGGCCCGGGTCAAACTTGGGGTCGCGGAGCCCGCAGGTGTGTGCGACCCGCCCGGACGTGCGCGCGTCCTCTCTGCGGCCCCTCACCCCTGCGTATATCCACAGCTGGCGCTGGCGACGCACTCGCTGGGTCTGACAGCCTCTGTGTGGCGCTGAAAAATCCCACGTCGCCACAAGCCAGCCGCGCCTAGTGCGCTTGGGGAAACTGAGGCCTAGAGCCGGGGGCCTTGGCTCCTGGAGAGAGTCTGGAGTGACCAGAGCCCCTTTTCGAGAGCCTTCTGGGGCTCGCCACTGGGCTGAGGGCTTCTCCCTACATTCCCTGGCAGGGAGGGGCCGTCACCCCATTTTTCAGGGTGCGACCAAGGCTCACCAGACTTGAGTCACTTGCTCAGCTCACGCAGCTGGGCCAGGTTTCGGACTCCTGTGCTCTCCCCTGAGCCTGTCTGGCCGCAGACTGCAGTATGGCCTCTGGCCATGGTGCAGAAAACAGTGGGGACAGCTGTTTTTCCGGGAGGGCTGGGGAGGACTGGGGAGGGAGTGTGCCTTTAGTGAGCACTTACTGTGTGCTCTCTGCTTGGGGGGTGTGCTTCCAGGGACCAACCCCTCCCAGGGGGAAACAGTTCCCTCCCCCTCCTAGGTGAGGAAGGAGGGACCACATGGGCGGTGGGAATTGGGAAAGCGGCGGGGAGCAAGTGGCAGGCCCTAGGAGGCAGAATTCTCTAGAAGAGGATTTCTGAAATGGCCAACCTGTTCTCTGGAGGTGGCTGGGGAGCGGGGCACCCCAAGACTTCACAGAACCTCCAGACGCATTTATTTAATGGCAGGTGGGGGTAATGGCAGGGTGCACACAGGGGAATTTTAGGCTTTCCTTGACCATAATTGATACCTCCGGTCTCTCCTGTAATCAGGGGGAACCCCGGAAGGAGCACTGGCCTTTCCCCCTCCTCATGTGTGGTTGTCCTGGGAGAAGGCGTACGTGGGCACCAGGGCCCTGGGGGATCATGGGCAGAAAGAACAAGGAGACTGGGGTTTGAATCACAGCGCCCACCTGCTAGTCTCGGACAGATCGTGGCCCCTTCTGGAGCTTGGCTTCCTGATGTGTAAAAGCAGTATTGCTGCTTCCCTGGAGGGGATAAGGTAGGAGTGGGAAGCCCCCCATGCAGTAGGTCCTCCCTCGGTAGCTTGTAAGGGTCAGTAGACCTCAGCCTTGCTGAGTTAACCGAGCCCTTCGGAACTGGCAGTGGGCATGCTCTCCCCTCGACCTGTCGCTCACAGCCCAGCTGATGATTTGCAAGGCAGTAGTTTTCACCCACAGCCGTGGTGGGGGAGAGCAGATGGTGGTCCCTTGTGCAGGGCTCTTGGGCTCTAACGTCTGGCCACTGTGCACATCTGGCAGGTCAGGGGCTTCCATCATCAACAAGGTCAGGTCCCCTGACGGCCCTGCCCAGGGAAGGCTGGCATCACCGCCAGAGCTTGGCGCCAGTAGGTGTGGCTGGGATCACGTGGTCCAGTCTCCGGCTGCCCAGGCGAGCCGATGGTCAGACTCTGAGGCGACCTGTACAAGCACCCCTGGTGGGAGGCTCCCCTTTCCTTTATGCCATCGGGGCCGCAGGCGTATCTTGCTTTAGTCCGATAACCCAGGGCGCCTTTGAGATGGCTCTGGGGTTGGCATCAAGGGCGCATGCAGTTGCCTCCATGTGTTGTTGCACAGTCATTTCGAGTGGCCAGGGAAATTGTTCAAGTGGCAGCATGGTGAGGTGGAAGGAGCTGGCGTTCTGCATCAGATAAGTTCACTAGCTGCTTGATTCACTGTTACCCCCGCCTCGGTTTCCCCACTGTGTGCAGGGAACGCCTTTGGCTCTGTGTACAATGCTGGCCCACACTTGGCGGGACCCAGGAGATGATGGTGAGTCTCGTGGTGGCTTCCTAACATCACAGCCCAGGTGGTCACGGCAGGGCAAGGCGGGGCAGAGGAAAGAACCTGAGCTGGGAGGGGCTCCGGCGCCAGCTCTGCCCCCGTCGGGTCCGTGCTCTCCTGGAGCCTGCATGTCCTCCCCGGGGCAGCTGCAGGCCTGGTGGGTAGGATTTCCCCAGGTGGTCAGAGGTTCGTGGGGGACTGTGTTAGTCTTCCAGGACCGCCGTAACAAAGTAACCACAGACCGTGCAGCTTAAACAGCAGAAATTTATCTTCTCACACTTCTGGAGGCTGGAAGTCTGACATCAAGGTGTGGGCAGGATTGGTTTCTTCTGAGGCCTCTCTCCTGGCCGTGTAGACGGCCGCCTCCTCCCTGTGTCCTCACATGGTCTTCCCTCTGTGTGTATCTGTGTCCTTATTTCTTTTTTATAAGGACACCAGTCATCTTGGATTATGGATTTGGTGGGGGGGATGCAGGCCCAGAACAGGAGTGCAGGGCCAGGTGGAGAGCTGGGTGGCCGGCTCAGCCCTCTTCTGTACCTGTGGCTGCTGTGTTAGGGTCACGGAGCTGGAAGGGGCCTGGGGGATGCTCCAGTCCAAAGCCACCTACCCATACAGAGGGGAAACCGAGGGCTGGGGAAGGAAAGGCAGCCCTCCGGGGGCCAGGAGGGTGTGTGCCAGACAGCCTGAGACCCGGTCCCCTGCTCTGGCTGGCTCAGCCCCGGCATTTGGAGCAGAGAGACACATTTCTAATCCAAGTGTGGGCTCTGCTGTCACTACAGACGTTCACCACGGCGTTCCTGACAGCAGCAGAAAGTTAGAAACCAGCTACATGTGGGGGGGAGCGATGGGATACTAGCCATGCGATTGTTCATCCAGTCGACAGAGGTTTACCAAACGCCTGCTACGTGCCCAGCACTGCTCCGGGCCCGGGGCTCAGCCGTGGATGAGAACAAACGGCATCTATATCCTCCTGAAACCTGTCCTCTGGGGGTGGCGGGAACATTCTAGTTAACTGTATGACAGGGGTTTTTCATGCTAGGAGAACGTGCTTAAGAAGAGCTTAATTTAGACAGCAGCTGAGGACAAGATTGTATATCTTATATGACTGCAACTTTACAAGACAGTGGAGGAGAGCAGACTAAGGGAAGTAGGTCAAGCCGTGCACGGCGTCCTCCTGGTGGAGGTGACAAACGAGCCACTGCTCCCCCCTCTGCGTCTCTATACTGCCCGTCACTTTCCCCAGTTTTCTTCACTGTGTGCGCCTGTCTTCTGCAATGAGAAATCAACTGAGACAAGAGGGCGTTGCTTCCAGGTCTAAGGTGGCCGCGTGCTGCTTCCGGAGTCTGTGACTTGGTGAGAGGTCGGACGGTTCCATCCGCGGGGGCCACTGTCCTTAGCTCGGGTGGGGGTCTCCCAGATGGCAGCACATGGCTCTTAGCACAGGTAACGACACGGGTGCCCGTTTTCCGTGTGTGGCTCCATCTGGATTAGGTGTGGCCAAAGAGAAATCATCCTGACCCAGAAATTCATCCGAAATGGCATCTGCAAAGGGTGGCCATTGCCCAGGAACCAACGGGACGCTTTCACTCAGCCTGGGCATTCTGGTCTCCGAACTGTGGGTCCCTCACGTCTAGGGTCACTTCCTAACCCGCCACCCGAGACCCTTCGATTCTTTATGGTTTCCGGCCATGAGGTAGTTTGGGGGTAGATGGCATATTCTCTAGACCCAAGCCCTGACTTTGGTGAACTCTTGGACCGTCCAGTCTTACTGTCCCAGAAAAGGGAGTGGGACCCTCCCTCTGGAGAAGTCGCCTGTCAGACCCCCGGACCGTCCAGAGCATCGTCTGCATTGTGGGAGAGCTGTGAGCTGGTGAGAGGGAATCAGCAAGTCTGGTGGTGAAGGGAGCGGGCGGGGAGGTGTCTGGCCTCTGGACGGGCCTCTCCTGCTGCCGGGCCTCAAGGCCAGGCCAGCTGCCAGGACGCTGAGCTGCTCGCCGGATGCCTGACCCCAGAGCCCCGGCTCCGCACAGACACGGGCGCTTCCTTGGCCTCAGATCCCAGCTCTGCCACCTGCCAGCACAGGATCGTCAAACCTCCCTGAGCCTCTGTTGCTGCCTCTTCTGGGATCTGCGTGGCGCCCGAGGGTGCTGAGTGCGTGGCACGCGGAGGAGCTTGGAAATCAGTTAAAATAGTCGCAGCAGGAAAACTTGGGTGGTGTTCAGACGGCAGTTGTATTTCTTGAAGGTGATTGCGTGGTCTTGCGAGCTGCCGTGGGGACCGGTCAGATGTGCGCCCAGCCCGCCGGCTGCCCGAGCAGCGGGCCTCGGGCCGCTAGGACGCGAGGCACAGCAACCTGAGTGCTGCGTCTTTGTTTACTCAGGGATGTTTCCATTGCCAAGGTCTCTTGGGTGTCGGGCAGCACCCTACTTCAGTGTCACGCAGCCTCGGCTTGTGGGGTGCTCCCTTGGGGCCCATGCCGGGACCAGATGCTCCTGGGACCTTTCTCAGGGCCGCTGGAGTGTCCCCACCTACAGATGGGGAAACAGATGCCTGGGCGGGCCCGTCAGGTGCCTGGCTTCACTTCATGACGTTTGCAAATGCCAGAGCTGCATTTGAACCCTTTTCTGCCCC